AAAAAAAACTCGAACCATTTTCTAGGTAAACCTTAACTTTTCACTACTTTCCATTTTGCTGAATGAACAAGGGCAGGTTTTTCTTTATTTTCCCCTTCGACTTCTGTTTTAATTTGTGTTTCCTTTTATAACATTTAAGCTCTAAGATGCTCAAACTTTGCCTCTCAAAACAACGTACCGCATCCTGCTCTGTTGTGTGTATCGGTTTAATTTGTTACTTTCTCCCCCAGAATGCTGCTGAGCGAAGAACGGGCGAATTTTCTGGTGTAACTTCAGAGAAACATTTATTCAGAAAATACCTCTTCATAACAATAAAGAAAACCTATAGTGAAACTATTGCCACCAATCCTTTCTGTTATTTGTAGCTGAATTTGCAGCTGAAGGACTGGAACATCTGAATAAATTTTTTCTTGTAATTTCGAAGAAACAAAGGCCAAAATAAAAGTGAGCTAACGGAGTTCAAAGTTTACATTTTTGTTGCTACTGCGTCAGTGGAGTGTTTATACGTACCACAAAACGTGGTAAGTTTATAACATTTTGAATTAATTTACTATTTCGTAACATTTTAAAATATTTCCAAACATATTCAGTGAAGACCTTGGGCAAAGAGCAGCAGCATTTCCAAAAGGAGCATCTATACCAAAAATGACTGGTTCAACTCCTAAAAAGGATATACTGGGGTTTTTTGTTTGTTTGTTGTTGTTGCTTTTTTTCCCCGGAGATGATTATAAATCTAAAATATATAAAATAAAGAGCCGAGAAAGAGCAGATCATCCTAACGGCTGAGGTAAGGAATCAGGGGAAAACGTCCTGATTCTGGGTGCGCCTTTCTCCCCGAAATCTTGCACCCGCTCTCTTTTCCAGTCCTGCGAGGGTAAATCTTCGGTTTGGAGAGAATGAACCTCTCCTCCCACCTCCCCCCAAACTAGCAGCAGACAAAACCTTTGTCTCCTACTTTGCACAAAACCTTTTTTTTTTTTTTTTTAAATGAACATTTAAAAGAGATGCGTGTCCCACCTCCATCGCATCCCAGCACAGATCCTCCGGATTCACTCTCCTTTTTTATTTTTTTTCCCCCAGCCTCCCATAATTTACCTTCGCAGGGAAAAAAAAAAATAAATGTAACCTATAAAATCGGCAAAATAGCTATAATTAACCCTATATTTTATGCCTGGGGATTATTCGCCCTCGCCCAGCAGACCAGCCCGGCCGCTGCCGTCAATGACATCAAGGTGTTACGCGAAGGGCGCGGGAGAGCCGCGCCTAGCGTGGAGCAAGGGCGCCACCTCGCGGCGCCGCGGGGACCTGCAGCCTACAGGGGTTGAGGGGGGGGATTTCCTTGAAGGGGGAGCAGGAAAAGAGGGGGGGTCCCGCTAGGACCTGGGGAGATAAAAGCAGCCAAAAGTGAGGGGAAGTGAAAGAAAAAAAAATGAGAAAAAAATGGAAAATGGGGTTCATCCTCCTCACCCCTCAGCGCTGGAGTTTTACGCGTGGAAAACTCCAGCATCCAGTCGCTCTGGCCGGCAATAAAAGAGGCAAAATGGGGTTTGCTTTTGAAAACCACTATTGTTTCAAATTCCGAGACTAAACAATTGGTCATTCTGCTCTGGAGGGGGAAGGCCAGAGCTGTAAACCGAAGAGCTTCCCAAGCCCAGACGTCTGGCCAGAACTTTGAGTGTGTGAGTGTGAGGGTGCCTCTGTGTGTGTGTGTGTGTTGTTGTTGTTGTGTGCATGGCTCAGCATTCTGGCAGCTTGGAATTGCTTTAAAGGAAAAAAAAAAAAAAAGAGTAAAAAAAAAAAAAAAAGAACAAAGGGAATAATCCAGAGCGCTGGATTTTCACGGCATCTGCAAGAGAAGAATAAATTAGCCAAAGTCCCTCCCCACCTTTTCTCTCCCTCTCTTCGCCCCCCACCCACCTTATTTTTTAAAGACCCCCCTCCCTCAAGGAAAAAAAAAAATAAAGAGGGGAACTTTGTATGTGAGCGAAACAGAAACAAGAGCACTTACACGTTGGATTTCCCCACATTCCCAAGTCGTTGTAGTAATTTAGGAGTTCCTGAAAGTTTTCTTGCACTGTTTGCTTTACAGCCGTTTAGTTCCTTAACCTTCAGAAATTTATACCCTATAAAGTTTTATAGCGGTCATATTCTTTTATTGCAGCACACTGCACTGAATTTTCCTTTTTCTTTTTTTTTTTTTTATGACAAGTTACTTCCCTTTCTCTCTCTTCCCTCAGTAAGCTTCAAATATCTTTCTTATTCTTTTGTTTTCTTTTCAGAGCTGCCCCAAAGAAAGGATTTTTTTTTTAAGAAGTGAAATATTGCCCTTTAGAGCCCCCATTATGTTAAAAATTAGTGGAAAGAGAATCTTGGTTATATTCCTCACTACCTGCTTCCTGCAGGGCTGAGCAGGTCTTAGGGATTGTTTGGTTTTGGTTTGGTTTTGTTTTTTGTTTTGTTTTGGTTTTTGTTTTTTATTTTTAATATAGAGATAGAAACCCTTTCCCAGCGCTTGTATTTTTTCATGAGCAATAAAATGTCAAACGAATTTAGAGAGGGAACGATAGGAACCGCTCATGGAGCCCTTGGAAAAAGGAACCGCGTGTCAAATCCGAGGTGATGCCAAGCAGGGAAAGCGGGGTGGGGTTTCTCACTGTTTGGTTTGGGTTTCTAATTTTTGCTTTAGCAAAGTTTTCCTTGGGTGGTAGGGGAATAAACCAGAGAAAGTCAAATAAAGCCAGTCCAGTCTGCGCCTCGGCTTCTGGTCCCCTAAGGCTGAGGCGGGAATGCAAAGATTAAACCCTCAAAACCAAACAAATCAACAAACAAGCAACCTCTGGTAAATGTAACCAAAGATTTAGGATCTTCTATTTTAAAATGAAAAAAAAAAAAATTAGAAACTCAGCAAGTTTGCATGGGACCAAGTAAGCACTTGCCACACCGGAGAGGAATTATTTCCGTTTGTCTCTGGACTTTTTTTTTCAACCCAAGCAAAAATTGATTCTTATAATACACTTAACGAGCCACTAAAGAACGCAGGAAAACACGACGAAAATATTTCTGAAATTTTAGATGAAGCAGTATAACACAATGACATATAGGTGCTGTTGTTCTAAAATCGATTTTTATTCTGGAGCATTAAACATCTCTGGAAAATACATCCGGGCTGATGCTACAGAAGACAGATTTTTTTTCAACATTTTTTAAGTAAGCATATTTCCTAATAAAATGAACTATCATTTTAAATTCTATTTTAAAAGACCCTTATATTGTCGTCTTAAAAATATCCGCTCTTTACCACAATTCTAAGGAAAGCGAAAAACGTTTCTAAATCCTAGTGGCCGATGGGTTGCAAACATCAATTAAGTCACAGACACGATTCCAAAAAATACAGTATTGAGGATTTAGGCAAGTCCATCCTCAGTTCGAGATATGAGGAATAAATCAATTCAGCATGAAGCAGATTTGAGATTCATCCATCCTTGAGAAGAGTCAAACAAAACGGAAAAATTTGACTGCCCGGCTTAAACACAGCTAAATCATCTTTTTCGACCCACTATCTTTTTTTTTTTTTTTTTTTTTTGCAATAAATCCGGATTTAGATAAATGATCCTGCTGCCACCAACTTTTTTTTCCCCACCTCAAAATGTCTCCGAAACAGCTTTTCTTAATTGAGTTTCGAGGAAAGAGATTAGGGGATTTGACACAGGGTGAAGTTTGGTTACATTTAACTCCCTCCGGCAACAGAACAGTTAAATTTTGAAGCCCTCAAGGAGCTACTTCATGACGGAAAGTTTTACACGAGAAAGTCTAGGCATTAAAAAAAAAAAAAAAAAAAAATCAACCCGGCTTTCCGAGGAATGGTCTTAAGCACTTAAGGTCTGGTTTCTGGTCGAGTGGGATAAATTTTTTTTCCCCTCTTTCAAGAGGAATTGAAGTGGTGGAAATTTCAATGCACCGAGGAGCAGCTATTTGATTCTTATCTCTGAATCATGGAGAGGAAAAAAAAAA